GACATTTTTTTTTTCCTTACTGTGTAGCCCTGGTTGGCCTAGTAGTTTGCTATGCAGGTCAGGCTACCTTCAGATTCACACAGCTCTGCCTTCCTTTGCATCTCAAGTGCTGGGATGAAAGGCCTGAGCTACTTCACCTCACTTATGATCTTTGTAAGGTTAAAAATGTGATATAAAAGTTTTAATTTTTTATACATCTGTAGGCTAGAGTGAATGTATAAGATACATTGCTGTGTGCAGTACAAATATCTCAACATAGCCATATTTTTGGATTAGTACTAGGACATATCTGCATGATTATGAGGTTCTGCTTCATTTTTAATTATAAACAAAATGCAGCGTAAGTGGGAAATGATGGTTTTCCTATCATCAGAACTTACCCTGTATTTTCAACTCTGGCTTCTACCCTGCCTTGGATGCAGAGTATTCTCTGTCCAGCATATCTACATCTGGGTTTCTTAGGAGTCATGTTAACTACCGAACAACTGTCACAGTAACGGATGCTTGTGTTTAAGTGACCCTTTTTAGTCCCTCAAAGGGATGATGCCAAGGAGACACTATCAAGCACTTCCTCCAGGTGAAAGGTGAAAGTTACCCTCACACATATGGAGTTTGCAATAGGTTAGGATTAATGTACTTTCAAATAAAAGCTCAAAATTTCAGTTAAAGAGTTGACATTAGGTTTTGATATTAGTTTTTGAGAACATAATCACTAGTAAGCCATTTTAAAGAACTTTTTAAAGTAATTCACGTAACCTTGTTTTAAGGCCTTTAGATACCTTTTCTTATTTCCTTTTGTGTTAGGTTTTCATATTTTCCTTTTTGCTATTTCTAGAAGTCCCATAGCTTGGAAAACACACACACACACACACACACACACAAACAAACACACACTGTATTACAGAGCTTGGTTGGTAGACAGCTCTTTCACTTTTTATTCATAGATTTTTCTTTCAAGGATCTGTTAAGAGGCTGAGATTCATCATCATATATCAATTGGAACCCCTACTTGTAATGACAATAATAACAATATATCTTCCTTTGATGTAATGCTTTATGGGACTCCTTCACCCATCACGCATGGTGTTAAGGCTGAGTGCCACACTGAAGAGAAGATGACTCTCTCTTTGCGTTGTAATTCATAAGAAGGAATCTGCAACTCAGTAATTCAAGCATAGTGAGATATAAACAATACTAAAGTCATTCCAGAAGAGATAAGGATGAATCCTTTTATTTATATAACATCACATTTCCTGGTCTTCATCAAATAAGAGGACCTCTAGCCTTCTGTAGAATTTGATTTCTTGGGTGTTTCTTGAAATCTTTGGGGGCTCTCTTCTGTGTTTCCTGTTCACTATTTGCAGTGAAAACAGCTTCTGCCTCACCATGCCCTGCAATCTTTGCCAAATGGTGCTTTCTGTTGATCATCACAACCAGTGTGATCTATCACAGCCATGACAATGCCTGTTTTATATATTATTGATATTATGCCCTATTAGAAGGGGCTCCAAAATAACACCGATTTTTATCAATTTATTTATTTATTTATTTGATTTTATTTATTTTTATTTTATTTTATTTTTGCTTTTCAAGACAGAATTTCTCTGTAGCTTTGGAGCATTTTTTTGAACTAGCTCTTGTAGACCGGGATGGCAGCTTGTTATAGATTAACAGTGTGTAAACAAGCAAGATATTCTTTCACTGGTAGGCTGCCTTTTGTAGTTATGAAGAAAGAATCAATCTCTTTATTATTTATCTTGAAAGGTAATCTTATAAGGAATTTTAAAAGAATCACGAATCTTAACTTTTACACATGAAAAATAATGAGCTCTACTTTAAATCTTTTGGGTGCATACTCACTCATAAATAGTTTTTTATATTGAAACTAGGTTTACAGTACCAGGCACGAGGGCAGAAATGGGTATATGGAATTAATCATCACTTTTGGTCATCAAGCAATCCTAGCAAAAAAAGGCACATCAGCCAATGATAGTTGGGTTGCTTTGTTCTTATTCCCTTACCTTAATGAGTTTCTCATTCAACTATATGCTTTTCCAAAACTTTGTTTGTCTTCTTGGGTTTTTCACCTCAGCTATTTGACAAAACCATTGTAGTCTAACTTTAACTTATTTTCAAAACCTTGTTTCAGCTGTGATGCACTCTGAAACTTGTGAACCCATCTCCCAACATTAAGGTTAAAAGAATTTAAGCTAGCTGGGCTACTAAGACTCAATTTTTTAAAAATCATTGCCCTAAGTCACAGTCTATACGGCTCCTCAATAGAAACTCGTGTTCTAGCTGTGTGACACTCCCTTGTTTTGCTTTTTTTTTTTATCAACAGAACTCTTTAAACTAACATTATTATTATCAATTAGACAGCACAGTTCAGGAAGAATTCATCTTCATAATAACCCACAGGTAAAAAATGCCCAGTAGAACAGTATTTCCATGAGATAAACACACTACTTTACTCTCCCTACCCATTCACACCATGCCAGATACCAGAGAAATACGGCAGTGGCAAACATAAAGGCACAGCAGAAGCAAAAGACATTCTGCAGTCTGTGGTTCACCCATCAGGAATTTTCCTCCTGGTGGGCTGACACCTCAACTTCAGTTGACCTGCTGTTCCTCTGATGTGGCCACCGGTATGTCATGGAAAGCCTACCCAGCGTAGGTGACAGCTCATGAAACCTGGAGTGCTCTGCCAGCCTGAAGGCAGTTTAACAGGGTTGGAGAGTGTCTCCGGCAGCTCAGGTTATGTAAACTCTTTCAGGCAGTTCTGCTGGTCGCAGTTTCTTCTAGATGGTTTGTTTCATCTCTGTCTATTCCAGGCAGCACAGCTTGTCTGAGTGTTTCTCAGCAATCCTGACTGCTCGTATTCACTTGGGAAAGGAGGGGCCCAGTGAGTCTGTTCAGTTTCAGTGACTTCCCAAAGCTATTGAGTTGTTTACTTCTTGAGCTTAATGAGCTTCCCTGCAGAACAGAATGTTAGAACATCCTGTTGTTTTCTTGCCTTTTCAGAAGCATCCTGTGTCTTTACAAGCTTCCTCCTTAGAACCCCTGCTGTTTTATCTCTCCTTTAACACCCTGTGTCTTGACAAATTTTTCTCTAAGATGCAAAGTTTTAATCTTAGAGGAAACAGCCACTCAACAGCTGGTGGCTCCATTATTCCACATTCAGCGCTTGTGTCCAGATGCAGTGGCTTCTTTTTGGATTCTGTCACAGCATTCCAGAGCTTTTGAATGTTGCTTCTCTCACCAGAAATCACTGAACTCATTATCAAAAAATACAACCATCATCCCCAGCTTCTGCCTTTCAGAAATGTTAACAGAGGTCAGCTGCAGCTCTTCTCACATGCTGTGGGGCCTTGTGCATGTTCTGGAAACCCTTTAAAGTATGTGTCTTTTATACAACTCTTGAAGTCTAGGTGAGGGTCAGTAGATAGGAGTTTGAACCGAAATTGTGCTTTGTGGGACTAGCATTTCTGTTTGTTGCACTGATAATGTTTGTAATGATAAATGATAGTTTATTACAATGTGTTTAGTAAATCACCTAGAACACTTTATACACTGTTTTATGTAGTTGAACTATGTTATAGGGATTTATTCAATATACAGTAAAGGTTTTAGTAATTCAGTCTTACTTTAAACTATGTTATGGTCTGGAGAGATGGCTCAGTTCTTTGAGAAGACAAGGTTCTATTCCCAGTACTCACGTGGCAACTCACAGTCACCTATAACTCTACTTTCAGCTCCAAGAGATTTAATGCCTTTTGTGGTTCCTCAGGAACTGCATGCATGTGGTACACAGACATGGATGCAGGCATAACAACAGATATATAAAAAAGACCCCCATAATTTACAAAGAGAGCTTTTCAGATAAATCAACAATAAGTAATATAGAATTTATTGTCTACCTTCAGTTAAAACAGTATTGTTAAAAAATTTAAATGACTTGTTTCTTATAGGATTTATTTATTGCTAATTTATTTATTGAATGTTTTGGCTGCTTGTATATATGTGCTTCACATTACTGAAGTCCCCACAGAGGCCATAAGAGAACTTTGGATTGCAGATGGTTGTGAGCTGCCATGTGGGTACAGAAGACTGAACCTAGGTCCCAGAGCAGTACTGCCCTTAACCACTGAGCCATCTCTCCTGGCCTCTTAAATGATTTCATTAAGAAGACTATAACACAACAAAGACTATAACACAACAAGAGAATAGAGCTGTTGGAAGGGAATTCACTATTTTTACTGCATTATATTTTTCTTGTTTTAGTTGCTGAGAAAACCAGTGCTTTAACTTTTTGTAGTTCATGCTTAAGTTTGATATCTATTCTTATCAGTGTTAAGGGAAAATGTTGGTTGATTTTTTTCCTGACATAAATAATGTAATGGTGTGTCCTGTCCCTTTAAGAGACAAGACCCCTCCCCTGTTCACCAAGGCAAGCTGATTTTCAGCTCCTAGCTGGAGTCCCCTCTCTCTTGAAAGGGCAACTTCTGTCTTTCCTTTCTAGGATAGTATTTAATTTGTTATTACCCACTTGTTATTCTTATAAAACTACATGAATATATTTTTAAATATTGTATAATTAATTGCATGAGGTCTTTTAGTTTTATTTGTATTTTCTCAATCTGCTTTATATATATATATATATATATATATATATATATTCCTTTTTCTAAATTCTATGTTCAACCTCTTTCCAGAGGTGGAACTGCTCTTCATTGTTCTAGAGGCATTAAATTGCCAATGTAATACTAAGAGCAAAGTGCTCACACTGGCTCAGTGTAGACTAATATTAGAAGCAATTCTCGGAGAATCCTGGTTGACATATGAGTCCGATGGGCAGTATTCAGCTTAAAGAGCCCTGATTTTACTGGTGGAACTTCTTTGACTAAGGATATTCTTGCTATGTAATTAGACTTCAGTCAAATTTAACAATATTTTTCAATTTGCCTCATGCTCTTTCTCTTATTTTTTCTTAATTTTAGGATTATCCTAAATCGACTTTGAAATACAAAGGTGTACATTTTGGCAATGCTACAGGAAGACAAGAATTGTTCAAACATTCAGGTCCTGGTCCTGGACAGTATGATATCATCCAGTAAGTAAAAATAAATAGCAATTAGGCATGGTTATACACACCTGTGATTCCTGTACGTGGGAGGCAGAGATAGGAATCCTGCAAGTTCGAGACCAGAGTGGGTTACATAATGATTCTCAGGTCCTCAAAGATTACTTAGTGAAACCTTGGGGAGAGAGTAAGAGTGGAACAGACTTCCTAAACACCAATAATATAGTTGCTGACTGTGAAGTGTTGTATTAGTTCAGATGAGGTTATCCTATTAAGAAGAAGGAAAATTAGCACGAAAAACTCTAAAGAGTTTTATATTTTGGAATGATCCTTAAGAAAGCTATTGCCTTCTTATGAGCCAATTTCTATCAGTTGGTTTATATACATTACACCATTTAGTATTCACAAGTCTTTGAATACTCTTTGTAGTTACTATTATTTACCTACTTTATTAGTAAAATCCAAGCATCAGAAAAGATAAGTAACATGTTCAAGCTTGTATGACTGTTTAAGTGCCAGAGCTAGACTTTAACTGAGACCTGTTTGAGTACACATCCCATGCACCCAATCAGTAAGATGTACTGTGCTTAATGGAAAATAGACAAAAGATCCTCAATATCTTAAAGAAGGTGGGTCAGAATTCCATGTCCTTTGGCTTGTCTCCATTCTCTGACAAGAAAACTGGGAAGATATTCTGAGCTAGTGAGACTCATGACCATGGCATTCTTAGATATAAGAATGAATGACTGTGGTTGATTTGAAAAGGAGCTGCCACATAATTACCAGCAGGAATTAGCTTTATTGGGAGAAAGGGTCCAGGACCATTATCATATCTTGAGATGAGAAATCCTTTGGAAGGAAATTTTGCTAAAACCATTGTTAACAGGGCCTTCAAGACAAAGAGATGCTTCCCTTTAAAACCTGGAAAAGTGTTGTTAAAATGAGTAGCTTAAAGTACGAGTAAAAGAGAAAGCTGTCATGGATAGGAAAGCATAGGGTAGCCAGAGAAGCCTTCTGAGAAAGCCCTAGAACAAAGAAAATACCTGACTTTTAAGCCCTTTTAGGGGTGCTGGGAAGTTTCACATCCTTGAATTAGGGCTGTGGTTAAGTCCTAGAACAACAAGGCTGCTTAACTGTGACTCAGGGGGCACTGGGGTACTTCTGCTATATTGCTCCATATGGTTTGCTTTAGCTGTTTATTTTTTTTTTAAATTGTGTATGTGTGAACCTCCTTTCTCCCCCATGTATATCAGAGAAGGACTTTCCAGTGTCTGTTCTCTCCTTTCACTATTAGTTCTTGTGACAAGTACTTTTACCAATACTGTGTGGTGGTTTTTTCTTCTTTGTTTATTGGATACCAGCTTCTCTGGCTCATTCCTCAGAGCATGAGTTTTCTCCTGGGAAGTTTCCCAGTGATTATTTTCTCTGTATCCAGACCCACACATCTGCATGCTAACAGTGGGCATAGTTGGAAGTTTTGACTCTTGGCTATAGCTCATTTAGTGAACAAATATTGAATCCTTACTATCTGCCTGTATTGGACTTAATCATACAATAAGAATAGAGCTTGGCACTTCCTTTGAGGAATTTATACCCATGTCATTATTCTTATTGTTTTACTCTCCTAATCTGAAAGGTACACCTTTGTATTTTATTCTTTTAGTAATTATGCTAGAAACATGACATGCACACTTACTTATGTAGTCTATGGTGGTTTAAAAGAAAATGGCAGCCAAAGGGAATGCCACTATTACTTGTGGTATGTAGAATATTAGGAATTTTTGGTTTTGGTTACCTTTGATGATGTCAGTTCTTACTATAATTCTCATATCCCATTTTCCATTTGGAATAATTATTCGAACAATTTTATAACAGTGGTCTAAATTTTGATTCCTTCCTTTTCATGTGTATCTGTATGTGCCTGTGCACTCATCCCCATGCTGAGGTTAGAAGACAACTGATAAGCTCAGGTTATCAGGCCTGACAGCAAGTGTCTTTGTCCATTGAACCATCCTTGCAGCCCCAGTGCTCCAGATTTTAAAAAATAAAAGCAACCATATGAAAATTCATTTTTATTAGAATTTGAGTATATTGACCCAACCTATTGATTTTATCAATGTCATCTAAAGCAGACGCTGTTACTGTAAAAAACTATCTTTGCTTATATAAATATTTTTGTATTTAAAATTAAAAACTCTTAAATTCTATCTGAATTTTCCAAAGGAAAAGGAGAGTGCATTATGAAAATATTAACATCAAGAAAGAGCAACAAGAAATTCCTTGTATATTTTCCCCACGGTTTTATGAACAAATAATATTGCAGGAGGAAAAAAAGGTGAGTTAAAAGGGATATTTATCTGTTTTCCATATTTATTATGTCACTGAGTCGTTGTCACCAGATTAAAGTTCTTTCAGGTATTCTGTTCCTGAAATGTAGCACTCAATGAGTATTGTAGAATGGGCTATGGTACATGCCATGTGATCACTGTCTTTGTTTGGACAGTTTCTCATCAGGAACTCACTGTACCTGTTTCCTATTTCAACAGTAGAGAATACTTTTTCTTCAAATATCTTTACACTGAACTAAGCCTCCCTAACCTGTGTAACATGAGGGCCTGCTAGTTGAAGTTTCTGTCCTGCCCAGTTCCCACAGCTGGTAAGCCCCAAAGAAAATCACACAGAGAGTCTACATTAGGTTATAAACTGATTGGCCCATTAGCTCAGGCTTCGTATTAGCTCTTATAACATCTATTAACCCATTTCCCTTATCTGTGTTAGCCACATGGCTTGGTACCTTTCTCTGCGGGGCAGGTCTCATCTTGCTTCTTCCGTGGTCTGAGCAGGACTGAGGGACTGAGCTTCCTTCTTCCCAGAATACTCCTGTTCTCATTGCCCCACCTCTACTTCCTGTCTGGTTACTGGCCAGTCAGCATTTATTTAAAATATAATTGACAGAATATAGAACTGTCCCGCACCAAACCTGTGATGTCTTTTCCATCTCACTTTCTTTAGGAAGTTTAAGTGATTATGCAGTGTTGGGTTTACTTAAATTCTTTTAATGGCTTATGGGTGTATCACAATTAATAAAAACCCAGAGACAGAAATTGGGATTCAACCTGAAGGTCAGAAAAGCAAAACAGTCAGCCACTGGCTCTTACCTCAGTCTGAAATGTCAATCCTGCCTCCAGGAATCTCAGAATGAGACTGTGTCTGAGAGCTGTCTCCTCCTGTCTTATATTTAATATAAGATAATATTAATTAATTAAATATTAATATTTAATATTTAATCCTAGTGCTGGGATTAAAGGTGGGCATGACTATTGCCTGTTTTCTATGGTAAACTAGTGTGGCTACTGGGATTAAGGGTGTGTGTCACCACTACCTGACTGTAAAGCTGCTCAGTGCTGCTGTTTACTCTCTGACCTTCAGGAAAGCTTTATTTATTAAAATATAAGTCTAATATCACTACATATGGGGGCTTCTTAGTTTTTGAATCTTGTTCTTATTTCTTTTATAGTTTTTCGAGACAGGGTTTCTCTGTAGCTCTGTCCTGGAACTAGCTCTTGTGGACTAGGTTGGCCTCGGACTCATAGAGATCCACCCACTTCTGCCTGCCAAGTGCTGGGATTAAAGGTGCATTCCACCAACTCCCAGCCTTTCTTTTTTTAAAGATATGGTATCTAAAACTATGTGTAATATTCTGGGTGGGTTTTTAATTGTACAAAACAAGATTGTCATCTCTTTTATTCTGAATTGTGATATATTCACATAATGATGGGGAATCTCCTTCAGCCAATGGCTTTTGAGAGGCTGGACCAGGTTGGGTGTGGCCTTGGGTACCAAAAAGGTGTGTGCATACTCTCTTTCTCCCTCTTTTGCATGTATGCTAGATTTGATTCCTGTTCCTTGTTCATGCAGACCTGTGAGTCTCCCTCAAATAAAGAACCTCTTATTATCTTAATCCTGAGTTAGTGTGGGTTTAATTTATTCACATTTACCATCAACATAAACCCATGTAGATGTCCATCCCATTTTTAGATGTATATTTGAGTTTTTTTAATTTGATAATTATAGATAAGTAAAATTCTTAATTTTCCTATTTAGTATGTTTTAACGTAAGAGGTAAAGCCTATAATGAGAAAATTTGAAAGTGGTACATTTAAAGTAAGGATATATGATCTTCCATTGGAAAAAATTAGTAATTATTTCTGTAAGATTTATTTATTTTTGTATTATTTATTTGCATTGCAGTTCTGCTTGCACTGAATGTATGTCTGTGTGACAATGTCAGATCTTGGAGTTATATACAATTGTGAACTACCATGTAGGTGCTGAGAATTAAACCTGGGTCCTTTGGAAGAGCAGTCAGTGCTCTTAACTGCTGAGCCATGTCTCCAGCCCATTTTATAAGATTTTTTCTCCTCAAAATTATTGATGTGGGAAGTGATGTATATTGTGAATATGTTTCATTGCCACTGCTTAATAAAAGTGCTGCTCTCAGCCAATGGCTTAACAGAGTAAAGCCAGACTTAAAGAGATGTACAGAGAGAGTAGGTGGAGTCAGATAGAAACCTTGTAGCTGCCAGCAGAGAAAGACTTGAGCTGTGAGCTGGAACTTTGCTGGTAGGCCACAAGCCTCATGGTAAGATATAAAATAATGGAAATGGGTTAATTTAAGATATAAGAGTTAGCTAACAATATGTTTAAACTATTGGCCAAGCAGTGTTTTAAATAATATAGTTTCTGTGTAATTATTTCAGGTCTAGGCAGTGAGGAACAAACAAATAACTTCCACTAAATGGATTGATACCTACTCTCTGGGGCATGGATACACATAAGACGTAAAAAAGATTATAAAGAAAATGAGTGCTTCTAGCCCCACAAAAATGGAAGCCAACCTCAGTTTCTTGGCAACCACATTTTTTTTGAATGGGCTCTGTTTGCTGGCTACAGGAAGAGAGGTCTTCATGATTCAGTGGTAGCAGAAAAAAAACCAGGTGGTGTCGAAATGGTGACTTCCTGGTTCACGCTGCCTGCATGAACTCTTTCAGGAGGTTGAGCACTTGAATGGGGTTTGTGGGCAGCTTGCTGCAAGTTACTTGTTGACAGCATGGGTCAACTGGTTACCAGAGTTGACTTGGTGAGCATGGCTCCCATCCAGCAGTCTCAGAGGCAGTGAACAGATCTCCGCCATGTTGTACTGGGCTGCGTCAAAAGGCAAAACAGCCTTAGTCCTAGCCATGCTGCTTTGTATTTTAAGACATGGTCCTGGTCAAAAAAGGATTACAGATTTGCAATAAAGACAGATTCTGATAAAAAAACAAAAAAGACCTCTAAATGGGTCACAGTGTTGGATAAATGTATGTAGGCTTGGGAGAGAGAAGGAAAAGAGTGTAGAGAGTTGTAAGAAGTAAATTGTTTTAAAAAAGTAAAACAGTCTTTAAAGAGAAAAATAAAGCAAAGTCTTTAAAGAGTAAAAGTACATACAGTCATAGATTAAAAGGAGTAAAGAAAAATACGTCACGTAAATATGGAAATACTTAGAGACTCTGGATTATGTATATTATTGTGTTTTATTTGAATATTTTGACTGTGAAAGAACTAAGTACAGAGAGACATTTCATTGTACGGACTGCTAAGCTAAACCAACAGATATAAAGGTATCTTGATTTCAAAATTTGGGTCTAAGGGTTTGTTGCTTTGGAAAAGAGGTTCTTCTTTTGTTTTCATAGAGAATGACAGCCTGTGGATTCCTTCCAGACTAATGTGTTTTGATAGACCAAGACCCCCTGAAAGGTTGCCATAAACACTCCCAAAAATTACTTTGGCCAACAAAAAGCAGTAAGCAGTTTGGAGAGAACTACACCCAAATTCCCAAATATTGTTTATAAATGTTTGTTTACATTTAAAGGGGGATATGCTATAGATATGAATACTTTTATTGGTATGGATCTTGGGTTATTGATTCAAATTTAAGGTCAGTTTTGTTATGTGTATATTTCTGCTCTTGATTAGGGTATTGTGTTTGTGCAGTTCTTTTAAAATGTAATGTATAATTGAGAAATACAGGTTAATAGTCGTTTGTGATAGTCAAGCTTGTAGGCATGTTTGTTAGATTTTCTAGATATGAAGAAATATATTTCAGATGGATAAATATTCTTCAAACCTTTCAAAGACTAACAGAATATGGCATTTAACATGTTTTTTTAACAACTTAGGACTTTTCATGACAATGAGACACATCTGCTCCTGGCAGCACCATGTACTTCAAGAGGAAGATGGGCATTGACAAGGCTCCTTATAGAATTTGTTAACCGTTTGGGCAAGAAACTGCTCTTGCCTGGACTGCTTTATGGTATGCTGTATGAACTGGACGTGCAGGACCCACAGAAAAATGACTGCTGAAGTTGCCTAAAGAAGGTGAGACAGTCCTGCAGTGTTCCTGCTTCACGAAACAGTCTGTCAGACATTCTGCAGGACTCAGAAGAAAGTGACTGACAAACTTCCAATATAGGTGGAAATGTCTTTGAAATTTCCTGCTTCATGGAGAAGTCTTCTGGATACTATGAGCCAGTACACTGAAGATGGGTGCCTGCAAGAACTTTGTGTGACTGTCCAGGCAGCAAGATGTCTCTGTCAATTCTAGAGTTTTGGAAGTTGCTTACAATGCACTTCTTCTTTACTTCGGTAATATATCCTTCTGGAGTCTTTGATGGAGTTGAAGAATAGATAGTTATAGTTTTTCCTAGTTGTGATAAAAGATAAAGTAGATATAAATATTGTAAATATAATTCTTGCTTGATACCTGTTCTGTTATATGTAATCTTGCTATGTTAAAGTTAAAACCTTCCTTTTTATTTAAATAGCAAAGGGGAAATGGTGTGGGATGTCCTTCTGTATGGTTCCTTTTATTGGTTAATGAATAAAGAAGCTGCTTTCATCCAGTGGCTTAACAGTATGTAGCCAGGCTGGGAAAGATATATAGAGAGAATATGCAGAGTCAGGGAGAAGTCATGTAACCACCCAGAGGAGACAGATGCCTCTACCAGAGCCCACCAGAACCTCACCAGTAAGCCACAGCCATGTGGCAATACGCAGCCATAGGTAAGTGTAGCTCCCACCTTTCATCAAAACAGCCTCTCATTGCAACAGACAGAGATGTGGTGCTCAACGCCGCTTGATACATTTACCACACAATTGCTACATCCAAGGAGGGGAGAAGGGCAGACATATTCTAAGAGCCAGTGGTCTAGGGCATCTGCTGAATGATTGACTCTTCTATATATGACAGGGAAGCTGTAGTTGCTAATCAAGGCCTGAGAAGAGACACCACCA